ATATCAGATAACTAGTAATTATTTGAATATAGTAAATAAAAAATATAATCAGAGACTAGATGGGAAGAAGGTCCTACTCAATCAAGCTTTCAATCTATGAGAAATAACATCATGCCAGAGGGATGGGTATTGATGGATGACATGCTTAGGTCAAAATAAGCTAGTAAAAGTGTTGTGTGGAACGAGCGAACAGTGGAATGAGAGAGAGTGAGCTGGGCAATGGAAACCGAGGTTGGGCAATTGTAATGAGAGACCCAGAAAAACCAGAAAAATGGTCATCTTTTCTTTAAAAAAGTGTGTTTCCCAACCCAGTTCTCATGGTCCACCAACAGTCCCAGATTTATGTATTTCCCTTTTTTATTGAAATGGAGATAATTAAAAAAACTTGGACTGTTGGTGACCCATGAGGACTAGGTTGGGGACCACTGCGCTAGGGGACAATCTCATGTTACAGGGGAGGGAATTGCAAAGGAATGGGACAGCCTTTGAAAACTCCTGCTGATGACAGTGAGCAGTGCAGGAATAATGCCACCTTAAACTTTGCTTAAGTAAAGTTTGTAATTGAAACCTGCTTACTATGTTAAAGAATGGAAGATGCTCTAAATCGTCTTTGTATAAGTACAAAATGAAGTGCACTCTGCAGAAAAAAAAATTCTTTCAACTTTTAACTTTAATTCTTGACAAAATGGACGTGAAGCAAGACTTTAGTGACTATATTTTATTGCATTTATTTGAACTATAAAATTAACATAATATATCTATGAACAATTTTACTAGTAAGGGAGTTTAAGCATTTTGATTTAATAACGTGTAAAATGTGTATCTCATACTTGCAACAAATTCATTGCTATAACTAATCGTCCTTTTCTAATAAATAGACAGCTGTTGTTGATCTTCATTTTAATATTCTGACTATTACTTTTCATGTTGTTAAACCCAATTTCAATATAAGTGTATTTAATATTTATTATTCAATGTTTTCATCCTACCTTCTGCAGCTACCTGATTGCAACATAACATGCAAAGTTTCAGATTAATTACTCAAGCTATCTTTAAAATGTGTGAAAGTTGAACATCTCTGCCATCTGGCTCCTATGGTCAATGAAATGTCTTGCACTGCTCTCAGTGGTATTCAAAAATTCAGAAAACATCTATATCATGTCCACACTGCGAATTATCCACTTCAGGGCTCTGGTCATGTGTGATTTGTCTTAAGTGGTTAGGAGGAAAGATAGTAACAGTGGCAGATGGTTAGCTGGTTTGCCAAATAGCAACTGTGCAAGCCAAAATTCCTACACTTTGTTCTAATAGATAGCACTTTTGCAATAAAAAAACTGACCATATATAGACAAAAAGACAGGTAAATGTGTAAGCAATTAAGAAATTACTGCAGCCATTTAATGAATACAGTAAAACATATTTTTATTAGGATTTGCTCAATATTTTCACAATTGGTTTTAGTCCTTTTGAAGCATTTAATTTATATGTTAAGATCCAAAAGGATGAATCCTTCTCATTTTGATCTGTATGTCTAATTCTTGACACCAAAACATATTTATAAGCAAATGATTTGAGAACACTTAAATATTATTACTTTGAAGCTTGAAGACCACATCCTTTTTGAAAAGGCAAATATAAATGCATTCTACATTTTAAAGCGGCACTGCGATGCCAATTTTCCCTTTCCCCATTCGCTTCCTCTTTTCGCCGTCTCTCAGGAACTGTTCTTAATTTCTTCCTAACTGATCTAGTTTTCTTTGAAACATAAGACAAAGTAGGGACTACTTGCCCAGCTTTGACCCAGGGGAGGAGCTAAGTCCACTCCATTTCCTGTGGTCAAAGCACTTTCCCACAATACTCATCTCTCCTTCTGTGTTCTCGTGCTGTTTCATTCAGAGTTTGAATGCCGGTAAAACTACTGAATATCGTCATAAAAGAATGAGAACAGTTGTCCATTTGTGTTAGGGCGCAATTCAGTACTTTCTGTGCGGATCGGAATTTCATTCGAATGAATGAAATACCGATTCTATTCGTGCCGCGATTGCATCTCGGAGCCACTCAGGAAATAGCTCCCTAATTCCCACGGTATTAGGGAGCTATCTACTATAAGGCTGAAAAAACATAATTGGTATTTCAGCCAAATTTACTGATACTAAGTAAAGATTACTTAGTATTAGTAATTAAGGGAGATTAAAATCTCCCTTCTTCTCCTACTAGCTATACCGCGAGTAGGGGCATGTCTACTAAACACCCAGTGGCTGCTCATGCTTATAAAAAAGACCCCCATTTATTCTAATAAAGTGCCCCTTAGAGTGGCACTTATAAAAATAATTAACTCGAGGGACATAGTCACCCCCCCACTAAACTAAACTAAATGGGGGACCTAATCTACCCCCTCAGCCCCCACCCATGAGCGGCGGATGGGGTCCCTAAGATACAATAGTGTGGGGGGGGATACTGCCTCCCACCCCTGGCTGCCACCCATGGGCGGCGGGTGGAGGCACTAAGATACATTAGAGGGAGGGGGCCTAATGCATAATATTTATTTGAAGCAAGAGATGCAAAGCTAACATATAAGCGTATCATAATCAATTGTGTGTATAGATTGTTTTATAAACAAACATATACATAAAAAATTTGTAAATTTGCACAATTTTTATTTTTCACTTATTTGTTAATCCCTTTTCAAAATATATATGGGAAATATAACTTATACAGTGTCATTTATGTTGCAATATTTCACACAGGGTATGAAATGTTAGAATAAAAGCAAAAATGCATTTTTGTTCTCCTATATACTGGGTGTGACAAAAATATTTAAATGTCTAAATAAATTTCTTCTAGGTATTTGTAGGGATCCTAAAGGTGTCACAACAGAATGTAAAACCAATGTCTTCACGTGAGCATAATAAAAACAGTTAAATCATATATTTCTAAAATGTAAAAGATATTTAGCAATTGTTATCAATATCTGTACTGCTAATGTAAGCATGACAGTGAAATGGTACAGTCCATTCACTCTTCCCCCATCCCTGATTCTGGAACATATCCTGTACTATTTGAAAGTAGATGGAGAGCTTACATTTTCAGACACTTTATAGTGACTACTGGCAGATAAATTTGCTCCTCTCCAGGCTGGCAATTATAACTTGAGTATAAATGAGGGTGAGTGAGGCTTTATGGTCTAGTTCTCATCCAGCAAACTACATGAAAATAAAATCCTTATACATGCTCTATGCATTGAAGGGGTTAAGAAAGGCCTGTGAATAAGAGAAAAAGCCAGAAAATTTAAAGGTAAATTGTTAATCCCAAAACAAGATGCATGAAACAGATCTGCATGAAAGCCAGAGAATATAAATGTAAGTAAGTGGTATATCCAAAATAATGTACTAGCAAAAGGTCCAAATAAAAGCAAGAAATAGGGGAAGGGAGGGAGGGTGGGGGGAGGGGGAGGCATGGTCGATCACTGAGCTGTATGGATTATAGCTAACACAGTGTCCGTCTGAGCAGGCCTAAATCTCAATTGTTTCAGGAAAAACAGTCCAAGATGGGAACCAAAAGAAGTCCCACACACCTCAGACAGTCTAGCAAAACTCCTGCCAGTAAATAAAACTCTCTAAATAGTTAAAAGATACATCCAACTGCTAAGGGGCACTGGGAGTTGACATTATGGTGTTGCAATATCAGGGGGCTCTTTAACCTCCAGATATGCATATCTCCAGGACTTACTTAAGAATATCCCCTGTAAGGGAGATCTGACACATATTTTGGGGAAGTTGAAGTCCATGTCCCAACAAAAATTGGAAGATAGTGGCGCGGACATCCACCATATTGGGGACAGAGTAAGGGAGCTTTAGGACAACAGGGATTTGTTGGTGTCCTAAGTACAACAGCCCCCAACTTATGTAACCATAAACACCAGACATGAATTTTCAGTGATTTTATAGTTTCCAAATACCATGTAGTGGTCATCCTGATAGCTGCACATGTACCTTTTCTTTTATAAAAAATATATCACATATGAACATGTTTGTCAAGAGCCAAATAGGCCATACCATAGTCACCTTTGCCAATATCTACATGCCCAACAAATAGTAATGTTACCCATTCTGCAGAATTTTATGTAAGATAGAAATATTTTGTGAAGGCATCCTTATTCTAGGGAGAGATTGCAATGTTATTTTACTTATCCTCCTCTACCTCCACATGTTCAGCATCTACACAGAAACTATTTGCAACACTGTTAGATCAAACTTAGCTCTTTGACTGTTGGAGATTTGCTCACCAATGTTTGACAGAGTACTTATTCATTTCTTTAGCCTCTAAGACATACTCCAAATTGGACTTGTTCTTTTTACAAGTAAATTTCATAGTGCATCATTTCAGATTTATGCAATTCATATTAAAGAGACACTATAGTCACCAGAACAATTACAGCTTAATGTATTTGTTCTGGTGAGTAGGTAGCTACCCAAGAGAGCAGCTATAAAATACTAGTCAGGTGACATTACTCCCCTACACATATTCACAGATTGGTGCTCTCATATATGGTGGTCCTGCATAATTATTATTTATGTATTTTTTATTTATTTATTATTTATTATTTATTATTTTTTATTTATTTCTTATTTATTTTTTTACTTTTATTTTTATATTTATTTTTATTTTCATTTTCTTTTTCATTCTTATATTTATTTTTAATATCTATTTTTATTCATTAACATCAGCATTTGCTTTTCTTTCTTTAGATGTTTTATCTACCTACTGTCAGTATTCACTGTGACAATTATAATGTTTACTCATTCATTCATTTTTTTATTTGCAAAATATACCAATTGGTTATTGTCCCTATTTGTTTCATTGTATTTAGGTATATAGGGTTTCATTTGCACACAGTTATATATGAGCGGCACCTCACACCACCCCCCTCAGTGATGTCGGACGGAGGCGTGTTTTATAATGCTAGCCTCCGTCCGAATCACTACATGTCCCACAAGCACTTGCGGCGAATGTTGCCGCCCCTTTGGCAGACGTCAGACAGAGGATTGCTGCGAGTTGCCGACCTCCATCTGACTACTGTCTTGTTTCAAATGCGTGCGGTGAGCCACGCGGTCGCGCAGGTCTGTGACCACGTGACCACCCCCTACTACATTTCCCATGCTGCACCTATACTTACCATGTGATCGCATTATATTGCGATCACATGACCTCCTATTCTTTTTTATCCCTTTATTTCTGCATATAACACTCGTTTTAATTTTAAAACCTAATGATCACCACATATACTGCCTTATTAATATTATGTATTTTTTCTTTTATGTTTTGAATGGTTTTTAAATTTCTATAATTTATTCATTGCAATGATGACGTCATTTTGGCGCCAAAATTTGAACTAATATGTTTTATCTAAGTTTATATAAGTATCTATGTACCAGGCTGTTTTTTACTATTGCCAGTTGATAAAGCCCTGTGTGGCGAAACGCGTTTTGGCTATTATTTATATTTTATACTGTATTAATAAAGGATATTGGCTCTTTTATCACATTTTTTTGCCATATACCTTTTTTATTTCATTTTAACAATTTCCTGGTACCCGGTTACTTTTCACCTTGGAGTCTACATACAGCCAAGAATCCTGAGTGGGGATTGTACCACTCGTACGTTTATATTGAGCAGTTTATTCTGCTCATCTGAATGTGAGTATTTTTATTCTCTCATTTTATTTATTTTTATTTATATCCAGTGAGCACTATATTGTGTTTTTTATTCCTTTTCTTATACGGAGGAACCATCTTCACCTATATCCTACCAGTGGGGGACAAACGCCACTGAATGTCTAATATACTAGAGCGAGTATATGCTCAGAAATAGGTGAGTGTATGACCTCCCTATTATTCTTCATACTCTCAGTTATATACAGACAATCTACACTATTGGATTCTCCCTGTTTTCTTTATCTTTCATGGTTACCATCGAGTTAGGACTATGCTCGCATTAGAAGATCCTGTTTCCCATTGAATACATTACTCCTTTGCCGAATACAGTAAAGAGACGGACATAAAGGACTGAGATCTTCATTTATCCATTGGAATTTATCTTAAGTACACCAAGTATTTGGACTATTTTATACATTCTATTAATTATATATTCTTTTTCTCTACGTTTCTTAGTGTATGCTAATATATTATATTCATTTGTTGTAGCGCGACCTATTATTTCTGTTTTTGCCATTTCTTTTTTGAGGATTTTAGAGGGAACCTCATATCTATAGGTTGCAGCTATCTACCTGTTTCTAGCCCTTTACTATATCACACAGCGCTGATCCATTTTCCATTTATTCCTCCAAGCATGTATTGTTCTTTTTTTAATGGTTAATCTTTTTCTTCTAAAATACACAAAACAGAGTAGTAACTACTTTAACTTATGTTTTGTTTCTACACTTGACAAATCTTAACAAAGGGTGGATCTTAAGGGTTAAGGGAAGATGCACTTTTGTTGTCAAGATTTGTCAAGACAAATTATCCCACAATACTCACCTGTCTATTGTGTCCCTTGTCTATAATCTCACAATTTGGGGGAAAGAAGGCCAGAAATAAAAGGCAGTGGCAAAATGTAATTACTAGGCTTCTGAACATGGTGCCAGATAGGAAGAGAATTGTTGCCAAAAACAAAGAGCTTTTTAGAGGTAAGCATGGGGGACCTGTGCAAAAAAAGCATTGTGGGAAAAGGAGGACAAATAGGATCAGGGCTAATAGGAGGACAATTAGGTTCAGATTAAAACATTATTTAGAGAAACATCTATTTCAAATCAATAAAGAACCATTATATAAATTAAATAGACTAATAAATCAATCATCATAAAAAGGATTTATATCTAGAACTAGAAACTTTATAAAAACAATAACATATATGAAAATATATAAAATGAGTTATAAATGGGAGAAGGATCTGGGATATATCATGATTTAGAAAGATTTAAATAAAGTCTTCAAAAAATTTACATTTACAATTCACTGCTTAAATATAATTGAGACCATTTTAAAATCACTAATACGTGGCATATAGATTAGCAAGAATCTACCCAACACAGGACTCTTCCTGTTGGAGATGGTGGTTTCCTAAGGCTAATTACCAACACATATGGTGGAGTTGCATTAAAATTCAAGAGCTTTGGAAAATGATAGAAAGACATCTAAGTAATTACATAAACCAGATACTCCCATTTAACCTTGAAGCATTTCTTTTAACTATCAACTGCCCTAGAAGAAACACATTTAGTCACACACATACTGATGGCTACTAAAGTAACTGTAGCCCGATACTGGTAAAAAAAAAACAATACTCCAGAATGAAAAGAAATAGATAAACAATACCTCTATCAATATAAAATTGAATTATATTTGAGTAGAAATAGTATATTAAAACGAAGGAATCATAACAACTGGAAAAATAAATATAAGAAAAACTGAAAATTTCACCTGCTAAGATTCAATATAAATGTTTGCATGTACAAATACCACTATATGTAACTACTTGTGTGTTAATACATATCATATTCTATGTTATACTTGTTCAGGTTTCTCAACAAGTCATTGATACCTTTGTAAAATGGTTCTTAAACATTCTTTTTCTGTATGTATCTTGACAAGAAGAATAAATAAATAAAAAATAAAAAAGCAGCAGAAACAAAAAGATTATCCCAATAACCCAACAAGCAAAAAAATAGAAATAGAAAATATGTCAGCTTTTAAGAAATCAATATGGCTAATATTGCCAAGGGATATATAAAACATTAGTATTAGTGACTACAACAAAATTCTTTCCACCTTTAATACAATCTTCTGAAGTATTCTGACTCCAATAGACAGGTGCAACTTGGTATAAACTTTGTGTCCAGATGTATACTAGATTTTTGTACACTCAGATATAACAAAGTATCCCCTTAAATAATTAATTACAGTATATTTATTAAACCAGCATAAAACCGCTAATTTAAACCCTTACACAAAATAAAAGTGAGATTTATCCAAAAGCTCACAAAATAGAGGTTAAGGTGATATGTGCTCAATGTCCAAAACACTGTCTGAAAAGGTTCTAAGTCTCAAGCAACTTTTAAGCTACCGCTCACTTCAATGTGTTTCTCCTGTATAGTCAGGCTTTGCAGTCCTTGTCCATATTTAAAGGGTTGTACTACCTTCGGTTGTACTACGGTTGTACTACCTTCTTAAGAGCATAACTACAGCCTATTGCAATTAAACAATAGTCAATGTATAAAACATATTTCTATGTTAAAAAAAAAAATAACAAGAACAAAATGTAGCCTACAAGAAGATTCATGAAGCAAATCAGAGTCTTATATAAGGGCATACAATATATTTTCTAAATTCTGTATAAAATCTAAATAAAAATAAAAATGATAAAAAGAGAGTCAAATGGACAATAGTATATATCAATAGATATTAAAAATGTAAATTAAAAAGGTATCTGAAGTTCCATTTCTGCATTCAAACCAAAGGTGATATCTCTTCATAGTATAGAGCTAATACATTTCCTGATATGAATGTTGTTTGCCCACCCTCCAGTTTATTTTAACTAAATGAATGCCTTGATAATTAAGCAAACTAGGATCACTATTAAGAGTTTCTGAAAAATGTTCAGATATGGAATGATTTTGAAAACCCTTTTTTATGTTACCTACATGTTCTGATACTCTAACGTTTAAACATCTTTTAGTTTGATCTATATATTGTTTATTACATTGACAGTTCAATAAATAGGCAACACTCTTAGTATGACATGTAATAAGGTAATTGATTTTGTATTCTTGTTGTGTAATCGTGGATTTAACAGTATACATTTTTCCATATGGGGGTCATCTATTGCAAATTCTATATTGTCCACAGTTATAAAATCCTCTACTGTCATTAAGGAAATGGTTGCTAATTATGGGGGGTCAAAAACTATTGACTTATTTGTTTCTGATATTTGGTGCACCCCTGAAAACTACCCTTGGTTTAACTGGTAAAAAAGAGGCAAAAATGTATTTAACAAATACCACTGTTTTCTGATGATACATTTTAAAACACTTGCTTTACTATTATATTGTAAAATAAATAGGGATACGGAATTTAAACCTTGTGAAGATTTAGTACTTTGTCGAAATAGACTAGTTCTGTCTACTTTAATACTTTTTTTTTTTTTTTTGTAAATATGTTTTTATTTGTTATTTGTTATGCACAAATAAGGGAAAACGAAACAGTGAGACTCGCAGGTCTCTGTTAACCTAGCAAGTACAATAACACTTGAATAACATGCAAAAGAGTTGGTTTCAACGAATGCGAGGATTGGCTTTGGAAAATGTGAATGATCAACATTTGGGCTCGCAGGCCCATATTGTCAATGGACTCGCAGGTCCCTCGTCATATTATTTTCCTGTGAATAAAATCTTTTGTTTGTTTTTCCATTGAATTAATTAACTGCGTGGCTTGCACGTCTTCAGTTACGTTTTACCTACAACAATTTTAAACAGTTGCATGTTCAATTGGGCTCGCAGGCCCGCATTGTTGTCGGACTCGCAGGTCCCTTGCATTTGAAACGTGTGTGTGTATATCCCTACTGTGTAAGCCTGTCTGCGGGAAGGTCATGTGACAGTCGTGTGACCGCCCGGGTCACGTGGTCTGCGTCTTTCGTCCCTGCCCCTCTTTATATGGCCCTGTCTGGTTTATGTGTTCTCCTTGTCTGTGTGTCTGGTCCTCTCGTGTCTGTTTTAGTGTTTAGTGGGCCCCTTAGTACTAGTAAGCCAGTGTTGCAGAGGGTGCTACAACCCCTGAGGGCTGTCTTCCCCTCTCCTCTCTGGTTTTGTGGTGTCGTTTGGCTAAATGCATGGTGGTGCCAATGTCAAGTTAGTGAATTCTGGGTCGGTTGTCTTCAGGATCCAATGTGTCCAAGTGTTGAGGTACACTTGGAATGTGTCGTTAGCGGTGTGATGAAGTTCCTCTAGGGATCTCAGTTCCTCCAATTGTGTGAACCAGGCTCTCAGGGGAGGGGTAACCTGTTGTTTCCAATACTGTGCGGATTGTGAGCGATTTCTTATACGCTGTTCTAGGGGTTTTGGTGTGGT